CAAAAGAAGATGGAAGAAATGCACAATCACTATATTAAAAAGAAATTATCCATGTTCAACCATTTCTAGAGGTAGCATATAAAGTCAATGAAGGAAGAAGTCCAAGGTGCAATGAAAGCACTGGCAAAAAACAAAGCACCAGGAATTGATGAGATAAAAATAGAAATCCTTCAACAAACTGAGGCAGCACTGAGTTTCAGACACTCAGTCCCCTATATCAACAAATTTGGAAGACAACTACCTGATCAACTGATTGGAAGAGATCCATATTTGTGCCCATTCCAAAGAGAGGTGATCCAACGGAATGCAGAAATCATCAGACAATATTACTGATATCGCATACAAGTTAAATTCTGCTAAAGATAATTCAAAAATGGCTGCAACAGTACATTGACAAGGAGCTGGCAAAAGTTACGGCTGGATTCAGATGAGAATGTGTCAAGACGGATCTTGGCTGAAAGCAAAGAATACCAGAAAGATGTTTTTCTGTGTTTTATTGGCTACGCAGAGGCTTGTGATTGTATGGATCATGACAAGCTATGGACAACACTGTAGAGAATGAACATTCCAGAACACTTAATTGTGCTCAAGAGGAAACGTACATAGACCAAGAAGCACTTGTTTGAACAGAACAAGGGGACACTGAATGGTTTAAAATCAGGAAAGGTATACACCCAGCTTGTATTCTTTCACCGTATTTACTATATCTGTATGCTGAACAAATAATCTGAGAAGTTGGATTATATGAAGAAGAACATGGCATCAGGATTGGAGTTAAGACTCATTAACAAGATGATACAAGCTTGCTTGCTGAAAGCAAGAAACACTTAAAATATTTACATTTAAACCTCAATGTAAAGGAAACAAAAATCCTCACCACTGGACCAATAAATAACATCATGATAAATGGAGTTCTGGTGTGGTGCTGTGGGTTAGTTGCACTGGAATACAGAGTCAGTTTGAACCTCAAGGCCAACAGTTCAAGCTCACTAACTAACTTCTCCTTGAAAACCCCACACAGTGTCACTGTAGGTTGGAACCGATCTGATGGAACCTAACAACAACAAGAATTGGAGAAAAGACTGAAGTTGTCAAAGAATTTCATTTTTCTGGAATCAACCATCACTGAAGGAGCACTCAAGAAATTAAACAATGTAATGCATTAGGCAAATCTGCTGCACAAGATCTCTTCAATATTTTCAAGTGCAAAGATGTCTATTAGACAACTAAGGCGTGCTGACCCAAACCATGGTTATTTTCAGCAGCTTCTTATGCATGTGAAAGTTACACAAGGAATAAAGGAGACCATAGAAAAATTGATGCATTTGAGGTATGGTGTTGGAGGAGAACCTCCAACCATAAAAGAACCAGGGACTGCCAGAAGAACAAACAAATTTGTGTTGGAAAAAGTATAGCTAAGAATGCTCCTTAAAAGCCAGGGTGGCAAAACTTCGTCTCTCATACTCTGGACATGTTATCAAGAAGGGCTAGTCCCTGGAGAAGAACATCATTCTTGGTAAAGTGGAGGGTCAGCAAAAAGAGGCACACCCCCAACGAGATGGACGGGCACAGTGGCAGCAGCAATGGGCTCAAGTATAGCAATGTTTGTGAGATTTGTGCAGGACTGGGCAGTGTTTTGTTCTGTTGTCCATAAGGTCTCTAGGAGTTGGTACCGACTCAACAGCATCTAACAACAGCAATAATTTCAGTTGGGTATTAGGAGCCACAGATATAAAGATTTGTGCTTGGTTGATCATTTTGAACTAGAAGTGACCAAGAACTGGGTGTGAACACTTATTACCCTTTAATCACTGGCAAGGAGCAGGTTATTTGAATCTAAAAGTGTCAGTAACAGATCTAAGACGATGTGCATTAGAGAAAGCCCACTTTTCAGCTACTGATAAATTTGTAGGTGTGAGAGCTGGGTTCATTGTGGACTCTACACCCCAAACTAGCAAAATGCTAGCTCACTGGCTCATTTCAGAGACATAAACAAGGGAAAATATCCTGAAATATTTCCCAGTACCGAAGTTTGGACCTCTGTCATGAACACAAGTCTGAGGAAGTGTATCGGGTCAGAAAGATGCCACCTTACAAAGCAGAGCAATACTAGGAGAAAGGCGCTAATTATCTAGAGATTATGGATTTACTAAGTCCCAGCCTAACCTCTTCCCCCGGCTATACTGTCAGGAGATGACATCAATGAAAAGTCATCAGCTTCCTGCCCTTCCTCTTCATCTTACTTTCTTCTCCTCTTTTCTTTGTTTCTTCACGACCCCGAAAGCCAACCCCACCTCTTCTGCCCCACCCATTAGACAACCTGTCATTGGTTTCTTCTCTCCTTTCACTCCCTCAGTCTGTTCCAAGTATCAATAGCCAGTGGGGCTTACCAGCCATTCCACAAAGGCACTACTGTTTTGAAAGAAGAGTTCCAATCAAAAGAAGCATCCTGAAATACAATATTGCTCATAGGTTATATGAATAGTTGACCCTGTCCAATTCTTTTTACAACTACTATCCCAGCCCCCAGATGATGTGACTCTTCCTGCTCAAAACTAACAACCATGTCCTTCTCCAGAGAAATGTCCAGAGAGCTGAAGGGAGTCTCCTTCAAGGGAAGTTAAGCTCCCTTTCCACAAGCTCAGCCAGCTAATGGCTGATTAATATGGGTGTAAAAGAGCTACTCCCATGCCTCAAGTATAAGTCTGGTGTCTCCATATTCTCCCAGGGTGACTCTCTTGGGCCAAGGGTAGACTTAAGCTAGGACCACATCTTTACACTGCTCCTGTCCCTTCCCTTACTTCCTCCTAGGTTTCTCCTAACAGCAGCAAATCCTCATTAGATCACATACTCCTGAATCCCCATCTTGGGCCTTAAGGAACCTGGCCCAAGACGACGGAGGAGACATTCTGGAAGAAAACAGGGATGCCTTGGTTAAGATTCTCATCATTTCATTCAATACCTGGATGGAATTTTGAACCCCAAACATTTCTTTGAGGCTTAGTTTGTAATTCTAATCAACAAGGCATGGGCCACCCATCTGCTGATTTTCCCCAAGTCCAAGCAAGCTGAAGAGCCATGGAGGTTCCACAGCTTCACCTTCACCTTCACAGGGAGATGGTTTAGGCAAAAATCCCTTCTTTTTCTGGAAAAGTCCTCGATCTGAAAAACCTTGGGTTTCAACCTGCCTTGGAGTCAGGGGTTTCTTGCATTTTCCTACAAGCATTCAGAGATGTACATCTCATAGATTGCTCAGGGCAGGCAAGCTGGTACTGCCGCACAGAAACAATTCACAGACTCAATAACCTCGTATGGCCTGCAGCAAGCACCCTGCTACCGCTCTTCTAGCACATACATCCTAGCGTCTTCTGAGAGTTAGGATGGACCACCCACCTGCACGGTCAGTGCCTTGGCTTCCAGGGACTATCAGTTGGGAGTTGTCAACTTAATCATCAGTTCAGAAAGTCAAAGTTCTTATTTCTTTATTCTCATCAATCTAACATTTACTGAGCATCTATTATAAACCAATCCCCATTGTAAATTCTGGAAAAAAAATCTGGGAACAGGGACCAAGTTCAGGGACTAAATAGTCAGCTCACAGTTTCAAGAACTAATCATTTTTGGAACACGTGAAAATAGTCTCAATGTGGTTTAATCATGTGGTAGTCAGACATGACTCTAAACTGTTTACATGGCTGTTGAGTCAATTCCAACTCACGGTGACCCCACATGTTACAGAGTAGAAATGTTCCATAAGGTTTTCTTGTCTGTAATCTTTAAAGAAACAGACAGCCAGGCCTTTCTTCTGTATCACAGCAGGGCAGGTTTGAACTACCAACCTTTAGGTTAGTTGTTGCTCTTGTTAAGTACTGTTGAGTCGGTTCCATCTCACAGTGATCCTGAATAGGGTTTCTGAGGAGCATTTGGTGGATGTGAACTGCTGATCTTGTGGTTTACAGTCCTGCTGTTGTTGTTGTTGTCAGGTGCCATCGAGTCGGAACCGACTCATAGTGACCCCATGTACAGCAGAACGAAACAATGTTCTATCCTGGCCCAACCTCACTACCGCTGCCACACTTGACGCCATCAATGATGCCACCTGGCCAATCCATCTCGTTAGGGGTCTTCCTCTTTTTCTCTGACCCTCCACCTTACCCAGCATGACATCCTTCTCTAGCGACTGTTCCCTCCGGACAATATGTCCAAAGTATGAGAGACGAAGCTTAGCCATCCTGGCCTCCAAGGAGCACTCTGGCTGCACTTCTTCCAAAACAGATCTATTGGTTCTTTTGGCAGTCCATGGCACTTTCAGTATTCTCCTCCAACACCACAATTCAAAGGCATCAATTCTTCTACGGTATTCCTTATTCACTGTCCAGCTTTCGCATCCATATGAGGTTATTGAAAATACCATGGCTTGGGTCAGGCACACCTTAGTCCTCACGCTGACATCTCTGCTCTTCAATACTTTAAAAAGTTCCTGTGCAGCAGATTTTCCCAATGCAATACATCGTCTGATCTCTTGACTGCTGCTTCCATGAGTGTTGATAGTTGATCCAAGAAGAATGAAGTTCTTGAAAACTTCAATCTTCTCTACAAATCGAGCTGCAAACTGCAAGGTCAGTAGTTCAAAACTACCAGCTGCTCCATGGGAGAAATATAAGGCTTTCTGCTCCTATAAAGATTTACAGCCTCAGAAACCCTGTACAGGGTCGCTATGAGTCGGAACCAACTCCAAGGCATATAACCACCACCACTTACACATCAGTGCCACACCAAGAGTCCTGGCTGAGTACAAACTGAATGCACCACCCAGGGACTGGAGCCAACCCTAATAATTATTATTTCATCATTTTACACATCAAGAATAGCAAGCCCAGAGATGGAGTGTGCCATGGTCTCCCAGGGAAGCAGGCCCCAACTCTCCTGACCTTTGAGCCATTACCTCTGCCATATACACTAGTCCTCTTGGGTTCGCAGTGTGAGTTCAAGATTCTGACCTGATTCTTTTGTGCGATCTTTTGTCCCTTCCTCCAGCGGAGTACGGGTGTCAGAGCGGGCAGCTCCCTCTCCTCTTCTCCAGTCACGTGCTCACCAAGGCTGTAGGCCGCTTCAAACACAATCGGACTGATGACGTCCTGGACTCTCCGCTGAAACAACGAACAAATACATATAGAGAGGTTCACACTGGCTGACATTTGTGAGCATTTCAGTTTACAAAGATTTTCCACATGAACTGCCTATGATCCTCACAACAGCCCTTATGAGGTAGGATTTTATTACTCTCATATTTCAGATGAGGTAACTGAAGGCCTTAATGTTTGAGAGCAGTTAATGTTTTGTCCAAGGGCAGGCACTCTGTTAATAAGTGAGGGCTTTCTACTGTACCTTGCATGGGGCTACGTCATCTTCTCCTTAGCATATGGAAGACATTATTTTACTCATCTTCCAAATATGCTTTTGGCTAGCCGGAGAGTAGGAGAGCACCTGCATTCATGCTGCAAGGCTAACCCTTCACGTTCAGAGCTTTGTGACGATCAAAGCTCTTTTGCATTGAGATATACATGAATCCTGCGTTTGGGACAGGGGACTCAAAGACTGAAGGGCCCCACTTCTCCCCAGAGTTAGTCATTAATCGAGTCAGGGATAAGCATGTGATTCCTGGCCTTGTGCTCTTCCCTTTGAAACCCAAGGGTTTTAAGATCCAAGGGAAGGAAAGATGGGTAGTCATTGGGAAAGAAAGGAGGAAGGGGCAGGAAGCCACATGCTGAGCCCTGAGCTGGGTGTCCCAGAGAGATGGAAAACACCCCCAAACCTGTGTGCTGGACTTTGTGTACTGGGCTTCACTGTCCTCACTTTTCAGAAGAGGAAAATGAACATGCTAAATTCCTCAGAGATCATGGCTGAGAAGGACTTTGGGTCACATCTACTCAACTCTGGAGTTTTGGGTTTCCCCACACAGGGTTTTGCCGCCTCCTAAGGACTGAGGACTGCTAGATTTCACAAAAATCTACAGTCAGAGGCAGGAGTCAAGCCAGGAGAACTGAATTCTGGGCCAGAATACCCTACAGAGGGTGCTGCTCTCGAAGCAGTCAGGACTTTTGAGTGGAGCAGGTCAGGTCTGAGAAGTGGTAAAGAAAAGCAGTTCTGCCCTTGTTCAGGGAGAGACAGGGAGGAGGCCAACAGAGGAGTGGAGTGAGGGAAGCCTGGGTGGCAGGGAAGCCATGAGAGCAATGTAACTCATTTAACCATCACACTCCACTCATTCCTTTACAGGCCTGGAAAATCAGCTGCAAAAAAAATTAAACAACTTGTTCATGTTCTGGCAGTCGGCAAATGGCAGAAGCTGAAGTTCATAATCACATCTTCTGAGCCCAATGCAGATGGCCTTCTGGGCAGAGATGCTGCCTATGGTCACCTTGTCAGTGTGCTGTGGCTATGTCCCCATCATCTGCTGGTGAGTCCTAGTCTCTGTGCCAGAGAGATGCTGGGACGTCTGGAGCAGATTCATGCTGCGTTCAAAAAGAGAACATTCTAATAACCTCAAGAGTAACATGGTGAGGTGTTTGCTTCCGCCTCTCCCTGATGCTCTGTCCCTGTCCAGAGGCAGACACACCGGTCAGTTTTGGGTAAATTTCCTGTCATGGTGTATGTACGCAAACAGTAGCTGACTATGTGCTGCACTCTGCTTAGCATGGGTACTAGAGAAGACTCCATGACAGCACTGAGAGGTCTACCACTCTCTCTTTAAAAGGTTACCCAGAATAACACCAAATGGGTGTCCTTACTGAGGAATGCTGGATCTCAAATCTACTTTAATAAGGGAATGGGTGTCAGCCAACTAACAGGCTACAGCAGCACTCCCCCAGATGGGTTCTACACAAAACCCAGCTCTCAGGGGGAGAGTGGGATTAAATATAAGAGAATGGGTGATCAATTATGCCAGGGAGCATGAGGTTAAACAAAGTAAAAGGGAATTTGATTCTGTTTTGTTTGTCGATGATGCTTTTACTGAAATTGCCTCTGTGAGGGAAGCAGTGCCATCCCAAGTTTACTGGGTTATAAAAAAAACTCTGCTTCCTCAGGGTTCCGCGGGCATGAGTGTGGAGTGGAGCACACAGGCAGCAGGTTAGAAAGCTCCATGATAGTCAGCACAGGGATGAACTGATCCAGCACATAAGCAGTGTGGGACAGAGGCAGATGTGGTCACACCTGTAACTGCAGGCTGTGGGCGTGGGAGGTGAGACACAGGCAGGGCTGTGGGGCTGGGAGTCTGAATGACTAGCACATAATTTATATTTGTGTCCAGGAAAGCATTTAGCTGGAGATAGAGTCAATGCTTCAGAATAAATGTAAGACAGGACAGCTTCAAAGGCATGAAGGGGAACCTTTGGAGAAAACCATTTCTACAAGATCCTCTGGATTTTAGGAACCAATCTTTATTACCCATGTCCTTTCCAGAATAAAGACACACACTTGGGATCCAAATGCACTTGCTGACTAGAATTTAAAGTTTATAGATTTTTTTCGAAAAGACTGAATGCTTGCAGTTTTAATGTTTTTAGAAGTCGATTCTTAAGAGTTTCTATAAACATATGCCAATTATTTTAAGTTTATGCATTTAAATGCTTCTCATCAAAATAAGCCAGGTATCAAGTTATTATTGTTGGTAAGGAAAGGAGACCAGAGACAGAACTTAGCATTTCCTGACTACCGACTGTATTCCAAGAGTCCCTGGGTGGTGCAAAAGGTTACACAGCCAACAACTAACTGAAAGGTTGGCAGCTCAAATTCACCCATAAGTACTTCAGAAGACATGCCTGGAGACCTTATCCGAAAGGTCACAGCCTTGAAACTCTTAAGAAGCTCTTTCACTTTATGCACATGGGATAGCCATGAGTAACAGCAGTAACAACTGTATTCCAGACTGAGTCAAACTCTCCATGGATGCTATTTTACATTATCTTCATAATATCTGAACTAATAATACATTACTACCCTCATTTTAAAGGCAAAAGAAACTGTAGAGCTCAAATACATTCCCTTCCATCCCAAAGTAAGTAACTGGTGGAACCAGACTCATTCTTAGAACAGAAGCAAAACTACTCTAAAATCCATAAGATAATACTATTAAAAAATCATCGCAATAACTTTATGTTTCAACACCACCCTAAAAACTGACTTGGTCCAGTTGATATGAAGTAAGGGGAGACAAACAAGAACACCCAAACTTTCAGACAATACCCGTTTGACCTAGCTTCAATTATTTGATGACCAGAGCTCGACTAGAAGAAGGTAAAGAAATTTGATAAAGGAATCAAGTGTAAATTGCTACAATTTGATGAACTTGACCTATACTTATGGATGCCGTAGCTCAAAATATCAACCAAGAGGTAAGGAGTTTTCACATCAAGAATCAAACCTATCCCATAGGTATACAGGGTTGATATGGACGGGCAACTTAGACATTGGCTACTCACAGTGGGGGTGGGGGGGGTGAGGGAAGGGTGGCTATAAGGCACGAAGTGACTGGCTTACAAGTTTTCAAGAGGGAGTTTAGTTTCAGAGTGTGTGGGGGAAGGTAGAATCCCCAATGAATAGTTTTCATCTTGTCTAGATGGGACTGGTAAAAGGAGATGGGGATAGGATTCTTTTAATAGTAATTATTACCATGACTAATTGCGATTGTCATAACTGTAAAGGTAGAAATTTTATAACATAAAAGGGGAAGTAGTTTATCTTACATTCTAGGCACAGAGGACCCTAGGACCATCAAGGGAGAACAGAATGAGCAAAATGTGGGACCTTAACCAGAGAAGCAGTGACACCAGAGATAGAGGCAGAGATGAGGACATGGAGAGAGATACAGAGCAGCTGAGGACTCTAGACTCATAAACAAAGAAAGGCTGTGTGCTGGTGGCCAGGAGGCTGGCTTGCAGAATGTGCCTTTTGACTGTTTAGATGATTATATATTTCTGAGTGTTTTTGTGTACATAAAAAAAAAAAAAAATACAAAAACAACAAAACAAAACAGAGGGACTAGAAGCAAATACTGTTAAATGATGATGCATGGAGGGGACTGTAATCACTGTAATGAAACAAAATATAATGAGTGCAAAACCAATGTTCTCCCATGTAACGTATCACTCAGTTCACAACAATAGCTTTTAAAACAAAACAAAAACTGTCTGGTAGCTAATGGGTATAAAGGACAAATGTGGAAATGTTTTGCCCAGTGGCATGAATGTGAAGAAATGATAAGTAACAGGGGCTCAAGTGAAGGTTGTCTGTAAGTGTGCAGCCAAGTCATGATTGCCAAGGAGAGAAGACTAAATCACGGCACAACTTAATTTGGAAGTACAGTGCTCCATACGGTTTTCAGTGGCTGATTTTTCCGAAGTAGATCGCTAGACCTTTTTTCTGAGGTACCACTGGATAACGTAGAGCCTCCAACCTTTTAGATATTAGCCAAGTGTGTTTAACAGTTTGTATACCCAGGGACTCAATTACAGAAATCACATCTATTGACCTCCAATTGCGTGCTGGGCCTATGTTAGTGCCTTACGCATTCTAACTCATTTAACCAGCACAATCTCTCTTTTACATGCCTGGAACATAAGTTTCAAGAGAACTAAACGATCTGTTAATGTTCTGACAGTTGGCAAATAGCACATCTTCTGAGCCTCAGGTTAATATCCCCTGCTAGGCAGAGACGTTGTTATGGCTACCTTGTCAGTGTTCTGTTGTCTATGGCCCCATCATCTGATGAAAACCTATCTAAGGCAATCAGTGATATATTTTAGTTCCCAGGACTCTTAGACAAATTCAAGTGCAAGGACAAAATGTGATTTATGTTCAAGTTATTTATGGCAGATTTGAAAGTAAAAGGGGCCCGAAATAGTGTTGTACTACTCAACCCATTCATCAACCACCTGTCAGTCATACTGTGGAGGCTTGTATGTGGCTATGATGCTGGAAGCTCCCCCAATAGAATTTGAAATATCAGCAAGGCCAGCCATGGTGGGCAGGCTTCAGTGGAGCTTTCAAAGTAAGACAGGCTAGAAAGAAAGGTCTGGAAATCTGCTTCCAAAAATTAGCCAATTGAAACCCTGTAGACGGATATACGGGAGGCAGGGCTTGATGGCGGCTA